GACACAGGTCAAAACAAAAGAGTTGGCCAAAGATGAAGTAGGAAGTGTATAGGAGGTAGATTCTGAACAGAATTTCCTGCTGTGTTACGGAGACCCAGCTTTATTTATCCTGAAAGCTACTAGGAAGGGATAGAGTGAAGGTTTTAGTCTGCTCAGATTTACCATGAAATAGGATGGCTATTTTTTTTATTGTAACATGTAAAGCTGACAAGAGGAGGCAAATGTGGCAATAATCCTGGTAAGAAATGATGAGACTTGAAGGAAGGTATCCATAATGGGAACAGAGGGAAGAAAAGCTAATGAAGGAATTTATGTTACGTGATGGTAGACGTGCTGATTGATAAGCTAAGGAAGAAATGAGAGAGGAAAGTCAACTCTGGAAGACTAGATGGAAGGTGATAACACTGTGATCTGAGCAACTCCTTCATCAACTAAGATGGACCCTAAGGTTAAGGAAACAAAGTTACCTATGGGGTGAGGGTTCAGGGCCAGCTGGCAAGGCAAATTTCTAAATTCCTACAGCTCTAAACACCCTAACAACAGGAACTATCAGATCCCTTCTATTCTGATTTACAACCCAGACAACTACGACTCTGACTGGACAGAGGGCTAGCCTTACATTCTTTTTTGATAAGTAACTGCAGACCTGAAACTAGTTTCAGCCAGTGTACAGAGGCTGCACACAAACTGTCTTCGTGTACTATAGTTCTAACATAAAGAACCAAATTCACCCTCATTTTAATGCTAAAACCTCACCCCAAAGTGAATATGAGATGTATATTACATATGCTTACCCATTGCACATGCACTCTGCTCCCCTCATAAATATGTATAGCTTCTACCCAAGCCTGCTGAATATGTACAACTCGACTGTATGATGCAGGCCTTGTGAGGCATAAAACCCAAACTGCCCTTCCCTTCTTTGAAGAGAGGAGCACATTCAGCACACACTAGAGGCTGTCTCTTCTCAGTTTGCAAATCATCATTAATGAAGCTGTCCTTTCTAAAATTTAGCCATCTTGGTGGTCTTTTGGATGACATCACCAAGGAGAAAGAACAAAGCGGGAAGAAAAGTTCAAAGATTCCTCAAATAATACCACAGTGTGAGTGGAGCAGGCTTCTTCAGATGGGAAATATTTGAGCACATCTAAAATGCAGAGAAAGGTGGCCATAGAAAGAGAAGGATGAAGATATGGGAGAGCAAGGGAATGATTCAGAGGTTTCTAGCACAGGGCAGAATAAGGGAGTCAAATGCACCACAGAATGGCTGGGCTTTGAAGTGGAAGGTACCTCTGAGTTTGCCAGTACAGAGGCAGGAATGGGTGTGGATTTATATACATTTATAGATGAGGGTGGTAAAGTGAGAGCTCAGGAATACACTAAATTTCTTGATGAAGACAGAAGAGAAGGATCCATCTGTTGAGGATGAAGAGGAGGGAAGCTGTGCAAACTGATATTCAGTTCCACACACTTCTCCGACAGCCAATCAGGAAGTTAACTATACTTTAACTATACTTAAGCTCCGACATGTTGATGTTGTAAGAATGTTAATTTATTCCACTTAAATTGCATGACAAGCTTTACTGTTCCTTAGTTTACTCCTCCCCCAGTCATGCATTACCCCAGCTGTGGTCACAAGAACGCAAGACAACGTGAAAAAAATAAAATAAAATAAAAAAACTTTGTAAAATAACAAAGTATTGTTAATACCTTCAGGAACATAACCACAATTTAAATGTGAATTGCTTATAATTAAGCTACTGATTCTTTAATACCTTTTGCAGAGCCTCTTCTGTTTTTTCAGGGTTTGTTTTTAGGGCTTGAGAAGCATCATACATAGGAATTGGCATAAATCTTAATGTGTAGTTCCTAGAAAAAGGAGAAAGTAATATACTTATTTAAAAATAACTTCCTATTACCTTAATTAGTACTCTTTTTTTAAAAAAAATCCAAAAGGATAGCTGTAAGAGTAGCTTAGAAAATTCCAAACCACCAGACCATTTAGACCACTAGATTGCAGATTGTCCTTTGTAATAACCACAGGTCCAATACCACAGGCTACCACATTAATTCACACTACCTACAAAACTGACACAACTTTGAGGAATGCAGTTTTGTTGTTTTTCTTTTAGTTTTGGATTCCATCAAGGACAGAATTTTCACACTAGGATTGAAAAGATGAACAGAGGGCAAGCCTAGGGAAAGTCCAACATCAACTCGCTACATGGGTTTTAGTAACCAATAGACCTGACTGTACCTGGGTCCCCACAGTGATTATGTGTGACAACCAGCCCCAAACTGGTAGAAGGAAAAACAGAAATAAAAACAAAACATTTGCTTGCAAAGCAAGCCATTAGC